TACTACTACTACTACTACTACTACTACTACTACTACTAGGACTACGACTACGACTACGACTACGACTACGACTACTACTACTACTACTACTACTACTACTACTACTTGGCCGGCCGGCCGCTATGGCCAACCGGCCGGCCGGCCGCTATTTGGCCAGCCGGCCGGCCGGCTGGTCGCGAAATAGCAGGCCGGGTTGCCCGCGCTGTCATATATAAGGCTTATTGCGAAAGACCAACATGAAGATGCTCGAATCCTTGCACCGTAAAATGTAAGCCCAAGCATCTAAGCTGTACACAAGCAGTGTTTTCTTAGCTGACAACAACATGTCAGCAGTCCCCAGACTTTTGAAAAGACTGAAAAGACTTTCCCCTTCGATAAAGTCAGGAACAGCTTTATGCGCCTTGGGTTTTGAACCTATCGCGGTTTGGATGCCTTCGTTGAAGATGAAACCCAAGATTGCAACGTTGTGTTGTGAAGCTGGTAAAGTTGGATCCTACAGCCTGTCAGGAACAAACCTTTGGCAGGCCACGGCACAAACAACATTCATGAAGCGGTGGGCTTTACGCAAGGTTCCAACACAAAAAGAAAGTTGAGCCTGGAGAGCCTCACAAAACGCAACAAGGGCTTGCAGAGTGACGATGACTTTTTCAACTAGACTGAAACCATTGTTGGAGCTCGCAGGAGGGCACAGCCCCTCCACGATGAACACCAAAAGTGGCAACATACATACGTACACTCAAAAATTGCATCTTGTAGAATTCTTTTGGACCATAAAAGCGGTCTGCGTTGTGCATGGTACACTTCTCGATTGCGCATGTCTTTGACATGTCTTATGCGCACATCATGAGTACATGTTTTCTCAACACGCACTCCTTCTTCATATTGTGAGCTGTCAACTCAAGTCATGATCCTTCCAAGACCATCTGGTCCGGCTTCGGATCCATAAAATGGAAGCATTCCTCCATAAGCTGGTACATCTGTCCTGCCAGCTCATGATACCACGTGGCCTCGATTTTGGCAAATTCTTGTCTGGCCCCCTGTTGTAGGGCCTATTGAAAAAGCTGAGTCTCTGTTCAGGAATTTCGATCGGTTCAGGCTGCCAACATCTGGATGACCTCTCGGTCCCTCAGGCGTAGTGGTGCTCTCCATATCTTCATCCTCGTCATCACCACATCCCCATTGTCGAGTCGGATGGTTGCTGTATCTCCGCTCAACATTCGATCATCATCTTCAGGTCCACTTCCTCCATCTTCTCGTGGTGGTCCAGGGTCATCCAGTGAAAACCTGTTTGGAATCCTGGACTCTCCTTGCCCTCGCCTTCTCTGGTTCACTATTTCCCATTGGACGTTGAGGTGCAGTCCTTCATGTCTCCTGTTGGCCTTCTCGAGGTAGTTGAGGGTCTCCCACTCCAGGCCATCACGGATAGAGTGGTCTTGCACAAAGCCTCCCCTGTAGATCAGGGCTCGATGGATCCGTTGGGTAAAGTCCATTTGCATCGGCCACACCTTTTCTTGTTCTTCCAAGGAGCTATTCGTGCTGTACCTTTGGACTTCTAGCTCACTCTCCAGGATCACAATCCTTTGTTCCAACTCCCTGAACTTCCTCCTCAACCACCATACCAGGAAGATCGCTGCCAGGATCATGATCAGGTAGAGGAACTTCTCGACGTAGCCGTGGTTTCCTCCTTCTGACAGGTCTGGTCCCACTCTTGCGCCAGTAGCCAACTCAAGACCGCTAACGAAGACCAGCCTGTTCAGATATTTTGCTATCTTCATCACTTTCCCTTTTTCGACGCGCTGCTCTCTGAACTGCTCAAACTCCTTCTGGCCTACTCGTTTTCCTTCTCCATCACGAGCTTGTAGCCAATAGAGTAGGAGTCTCAACCTGTGTTGGGATAGTGGCTTCGTCCCAATGTCTGCCAGGTTGCGAGCTGTTCCGATTTGTCGGACTTCAAGTTCACCAGATGCCACTTTGTCCTGGCACCATAGCAGCTTGCCTGCCACTCACATGGCGTAGTTTACCTGCACCACGCTTGCATGCGATCTGTCTTGTGGCTGAGTTATCCACCCAGCAAATATGGTGCACATCATCTCCAGTCAAAAACTGTAGGCTATGCTTGAGACAAATGCCATCACATGCTCCTGAAACAAGGGCGTGAAGCGCCCTCGTGATGAGCAATGCACCACAATGCCATTGATTGTATGCACTGCTGATGAGGTGCTCCTTCTGGTGACTCGGTTTCCGCTCCAATCAGCATCCGTGTAGGTCTCGAGAAGCCAGGTGTAATTGCTGTGCATGTTCATCCCTTCGCCTCGTTGTGGCATGGGCGGCATCATTGATTGGTCCTCTGTATCTTTGAGGTAGCCCAGAAACTTTCGCATCTTCTGGATCGAAATCTCCGTGGGGCTTGACGTCTTTGAGGCCAATTCTTGATGCAAAATGCAATGTCACACCTCTCCTGAGCCAAGTATATTCCCATGCCCACAACTGATCTGTAGATGGCTGCATCCTGTTGCGTGGCTGCGCTCGAGCCATCAAAGTCCTGGACGTCTGCGGTAGCTGGCAGTCTCTGTCGTTTGACCGATCCAAAATGGTCCTCAAAAGTCTTCACCATATTGGTTGCATAGCTGCCCGGCTTAGACAAACCCTCAGGGGTATATACGTACTTCCTCTTTAGAAAGGAGAACTCTTCACCATAGCCCTTGACCATGTTGACCTCAATGTCGAACTGCTTCTTCATGTTCTGAATGAAGTCACTGACCGGCTTCTCCCTTCCGGTGAACATGATGTCATCAACGTGTATCAATACACACGCCAGGTCATCTCCAACTCCCTTCTTACCCAGGCATGGGTTGATGATATCAAAACTGAAAGACTGTTTCTCCATCAGGTACGTCCTCAGGCGCTCATACCAGGCTTTTGCCCCGATGCGTTGGCCTGGTAGATTGCGCAGAACTTTGTATTCTCCAATGGCTGTAACAATCCGCAAAGGTTTTTCCTGGGGCACCTGCAAGAAGGCATCTTTCACATCTAGTGCTCCAATGACTGGTTTCCCTTTGTTGTGCTCAAGTTCCATC